TGTCATGTCTTCCTGGCTGTTCATACTGTATCTCGACAGCTGTTTACAGAAGCTGAAAGATAGCTGTTTGGGTGTGAAATTGGGTGACATTAAAGTAAATTGTCTGTTGTATGCTGATGATGCAGTACTTATAGCACCATCAGAGGCAGAACTGCAGGCATTAGTCACGTGTATGAAAGAGGAATGTGAAACTAAAGGTCTCCGTTTGAATGCTAATAAAACTAAGGTTCTGGTATTTGAAAGGGACGAAGAGAGAACGAAGTGTGAAATATGGGTAAATCAGGAATGTCTAGAACAGGTAAATGAAATTGTATACTTGGGGAGTGCTTTTAGCCGGGATGGAAGATGTGATTTAGATGTGGACAGGCGTGTCGCTGCCGGGAACAAAGTCAATGGTGCCCTGACTGCGTTAGTCAAAAGGCAAGGCGTAGCGAAGAGTGCACGCCTTGCAATACATAACGCAGTGTTGGTACCGACTTTGTTATATGGCAGCGAAACCTGGGTATGCCAGAAGAAGCATAAAAGTAAGTTGAATGCAGTGGAGATGCGATCTCTTCGTAAAATGTGCGGCGTTACCATGGCCGACCGAAAGCGAAACGAAGAGATTCGCAATATGGCAGGTTTGAAAGATGACCTTATCACAAAAATTGATAAGGGCGTGCTTCGGTGGTTTGGGCACGTTGAGCGAATGAGTGAAGACCGAATGGTGAAGAAAATATATAGCGCGAAAGTTAATATTAAAAGGTGTCGAGGTAGACCGAGACTAACTTTCGAAGACCATGTGAGCAAATTGCTCGAAGAGGGTAGGGTCAAAAGTACTCGGATACCTAGACGTGCATGCATGAAGAAGATAATGAATCTGAAAGAAGCGAAAGAGGTTTGTAAGGATCGTGACACTTGGCGATCTGTTCTCTCTGGCTACCCCGTCAGGGATTGTGCGTGAAGATAAGTATAAGTAAGTATAAGTATAAGGGGCAATGTATACGCTACTACAACAAAGTCCCAGAAAATATACGAGGTATCTCTATTACCAAGTTTAAATATTTAATTAAACAAAAACTATATATAAATTTAATCATATTATTGTAAAAAGAAGTAAATAACAATATTTACTTCTTTTTAAACTTAAAATTAATAATAACAGGCCTGTTGTTTCGGACTTGTTTACCAACGCAGACCGCTCGCCCTTATACAATATGCAGATCGGTCAAGCGACTGACCGGAGTCTGAATCAGAGTTTCGCTGTCACCGAGCGCTACTGTTATTATTTATCTGTGCGAGTGAAATTGTTATTTTATTGATTTAATTGTTATGCCACTTACATTTGTTGCAGCTTAGAGGGTTGAAGTGGAAGGAGACGAAGACTTTTCCTATATTACTTTTATTTTCTAACTTACAAGTTAACTTAACTACTGTGACGATGTGAGTACATAGGAATACTAGACTAAACTAACTTACAATCTAACAACTACTACTGGGTTGTCTTAACGATGATACCCTGGGTTTTATACTATATTGAATATAGTATAAAATATGCTTAGCGGGCGGTTGTAAGATAGGTGACTTCCTTATGGTACTATGTTGAATATTCTTTAAGTCACGTCATGCTGTTATTTGCCTTAACAGGCGGTGCTGTATGGTAGGTTGTATTTTTGTAAATTTTACGTGGCAGATCTATATTTGCAACAAAAAACTGAACAATTCGGCATTTCTGTAGGACGTCGATTAAACTGAGCAACTAGATTTAATCTAATGAGCAGTGCGGCATAGGACCGAGTGGACTAATACTTTGACTTTATGTAACGCCTGCATACGGTTACTCTCTTCCGATCTGCCTGTGGCCCGTTGCTCTATTGTTGGTACACATGTTTTTTATATTCTGTGTTACGTCACATCATGCATAAAATATCACCTCAAATATAAAAAATACATTAAAAACGGACGGACGAACAAACACTATCACAAATATTTTCTTTTTATCACGTACAGGTCGCGGCATGTAAGTCTAGCGCTGAATGTGACGTGGAGGGGACGCGCACGAATTGAATTGCACGAATGCGACAGGAGAGCTAATCAGCGCGTGCGAACGATACGCACGAGCCAATCAGCGCGACTTATATGCAATAAGCCAATCAGCGCTTATGCGCAATAACGGTCACCGCTAAACTTTCGTGCCGCTACTTATAATGTTACATTCGTTTTTGATAAATGATTAAAAATACTTCTCTAACTTTGCCAGACTTGAGATTAAGGCGCCTCAAGATTTTTGATACTAATAAGCCTGTCACATTTTATACATCTTAAGTTAAAACAAATTGTAAATTGCACCTTTTTCAATTTCTATATACATTTGAATTATCAATTTTTCATATGGTTTTATTTGCGTCTTCAAAACGAAAATTTTAAACTATGCTGATTTTGAAAGCGTTTCAAGATTGTTCATGATAGGGTATATAAATAAACTCAATTTTGCTATTTAGAGGTCCTAAAAATAAGTTTTTGATAAAAAAGAAACCTAAGGTTCTCCATCGTATTTTAACTTTCTGTGAGACAGATTATTGTGACTTATTGTGAGACAAAGATATTGAGAGGTGCAAAATATTTAAGGCCGGCCACATACATACGGAATTCTGTTTCGGAATCCCGAATCGGGATTCCGTGAATACATCACACACACACGTTTTTTTTCCGTTCGGAATAACAAGGGTCAGTTGAGAGACGTTAGCCATTGAGTCTAGACATTCTGCCAGCGAATTATGACGACGATTTTCTAATTGCGATTCCATTGTTGCTGTATCATGTAGTGTTATGCTACTTACATATCATTTTACATTATTTTAAATTCATTTTTCCATTCTGTTTCGATTTTCTGCATTCACCTCAAAACTGGATATTTTACATCACCTTTATTTCCATAGGATCCTGTAACGATTTTAAACCATAAGAACACAATAACAAATCATTTTTACTTCGTTTTTTCACACTATCAGCACTTTTAAATTGGTGTCAATGGAGTCTACCTTTTTCGATCTTTTATTTAGTTTTCCGTAACTCTACAATTTCGGGCTTTGTGCGCGCAGGTGCGCTACCTTTTTTCCTATATCAATAATATCTCATTTTTCACTTAAATCTTGCCGTTTTTCTATTACGAGCCTAAAACCAAAATTTGACATGTTTTGACATCGTTGTTTATCTGGTTGTCATGACAATTATATTCAAATTCGCTACCGGTCTGTTGTTTCTACTTCGATAATTCCACATAAATACTCTTTCCTCTTGGCCATTTACAAAAAATTTGCGTTTAATTTAAATAATTTTTCCGTTCTCTCTAAAAAGGTATAAAAGCCGAACAATCGGTCAAGAAAGTCAGTCTCGCTTCAGTTTTCGAATTCGAAGCATCTCCTAAAGGCCTTATCCCGGGGCCGCACTGCCCCGGGATCCTGCAAGCCTCTGTCCTGCCTGAAGCCGCTGGACCCTACAAACCTCTGCTCTGCCTGAAGTCGCCGGATCCTACAAACCTTTGCTCTGCCTGAAGTCGCCGGGATCCTACAAGTCTCTGCTCTGCCTGAAGTCACCGGATCCTGCAAACCTCTATTCCACCTGAAGTCACCAGATCCTACAGGCCTCTGTCCTGTCTGAAGTCGCTGAGGATCCTGCAAGCCCCTGTCTTGCCTGAAATCGCCGGATCTTGCAAACCACCGCATTCACCTGAGGTCGTCGCCTAGAGACGCCCACGCCTTCTTACCTACACCGTGCGTGCTCGTTCCAGGCGCTGAGAGCACTTGCTGTACACCTAGGATCTTCGGGCTCAGCTTCGACACTAATCTCTTTTTTTATTACCTTTTTTTAAATAATTTGTAAATCACGACATCCATCCTCATCTTCATACTCCATTTTGTTACATAAAATTGTAAATATCTTTTGAATCTTAAATATATTATTTGTTTTTGTTCTATTTTTGTTGTTTTGCTGTTACTAGGTTAGGTTCTTTTTGTTCTTAATTGTCACTTCACGGCAATCATTCTTACTAGGTGCATCCCCTTATCACCCTAAGCTTGCAATACAGTCAATACTATGTTAATAGATCTATCTATCCAGAAATATTTATTCAATATTTATGTATGTAAATTCTTTCGACGAATTATTAAATAAAATAAGATGAAAGATTACGAAAAGCTATACACCTACAAGACGAAATGTAAAAACATACATAAACACACCTACTCGCTTCGGTCGTGCGAGTGCGACGAACACTGAGCGCGTTCCGTATGGAATTTAGGTATGTGTGTTGCAACTCGTACAAAATCTATGGAAGACGTGCGTTCGGAGCGGCTTTTTTCCGTTCAGGATCCCGAACGCACAGGCGGTCATACGGAATCTCGAATCGGAGAAATTCCGTACGGAAAAATAACGTACATGTGTGGCGGGTCATTGATTTTATATGGACTTGCTGCGTTCGGAATCCCGAATCGGAATATCGAAACGGAATCCCGAAACGGAATTCCGTATGTATGTGGCCGACCTAATTGAGTAATTAATTATTATGAACCACAAAACTATATATTAATACCAAGTATTTGTACTATCCCAAATGCCACAGAATATTCAATTTTCTTGAGGCAGTGTGCATAGACCTGGCCGATTTCGAAACATTTCATAATCTTAGTATTCGAATGTTTTTGAACTAATAATAGATTCTTAAGTACTACCAATATTTTTCATACATTTAGAGACTAAGTAACGAGCGTATAGCATATCGAGGCATTCGTCATGCAATCAAATACGAACTTTTGTAATAGTTTCTTTAGTTGCGGCTGTTTAAATTATATACTGAGTACTCAAGCCTTAGCGTAAGACGTTAAGTGAAGAGTGGGCGGCGGAACGGAGCGTTCACCATACACGTTGAACACACGTTACGCCACACGCCTAGATATGCTTTCCACTGATACCTTAGACTTAATACTGACACCAAAAGCATAAAATTTGTGGATTTCAGTTCGTCACTCCAAATATGACAATAAATGCGCCACTTCGGTGAGATCTTGAGGTACAGATTCGTGATAGCATAGATACAGCTCTCTAGGTTCTGCTTCACTAAAAACTCGCCTAGAAAATAAAAGAAAGATTTTATTCATACAAATAATATTGTAAACTCAAAAAGACATGACTGTCCTAATTATTACACAACAATAATATGCAAAGTATAAATTTGACTGTTTAAATATCTGCTCAATGTCTAATTTGCCGTATAGCAAAGGCCGTAGAAATAGACCTCTTTGACTGTTTATCAAATTACATTCACCCTTGAAGTTAAGAATCGGTTTTAGTAATAATAGGCCGAATCCAAAACGTATAGTATAGTTTGTCCCCAAAGCCGTAGGTGTGTATGGGAGGGGGGGGGGGGAGTTAATCAGAGGTTTAAGTTAAGTGTAAGTTTATTTTTACTATATTGAGTACAGCATAAACAAAATGCAAGTTAATGTTCTCATATTAAAATATTATTCTTGGAAAAATATCAAATACCGCGAAAATTCTAATATTCAATAAAAACAATCGGTTTCGAATTTCAAATAAAAATATCATACCCAACAACCCAAAATAAAAATGGCTCGGTGTTCTTTTTGCTGATGCCACATTGGTTCAATACGTCTTGTGGCGCTTCAAACAACATTCCATACTCTCTGACGGCCACAAGAATTTTGTTAAGAGGATTAGAAGGAGCATGGTTCTTCTTAAATCTACAACAAATATACATTTCAAATTGTATGTACAATCACAAAATAAATATATTATGCAATAAAATTTGCCTCACTTTATACTATACTGCAATAAATCGTGTATCTTTTTACAAGCTGATCTAAATGTTCTAATTATAAATGAGTATAAAATATTATTAGCTTGCATTTCAATACTTTTCATGGGCGCTATTAAAACTCCCTTCTCTGATTCGAGTTGTAAGAAATGAAAGAGAACGTTTTCCTCGCCCGCTGTTATTCTGAAAGTTAAAATGAACAAATTAAAAAGGCTGAAAATATAACAATAAATTTAAAAAGTTATTGAATTGAACATACCTATGCACGGTTACATGATTAAGTTCATTTAATAAGCTTTTTCTAATATCTGTCATGTCGATATTACCACTAACTCTGCTGCCATCCTATAAAAAGATTAAAAAACATTCATTCATTTGTTCATTAAAGCCGTTCCTTCACAAGTTCACTGTTGAACATAAGTCTCCGCCAAGGAATGCTGCACCATCGACTGCCTGTATGTCTTACCAGGTCATCACTCCATCTAGCACCGCCGTGTAGTGTCAGCGTAAAATTATCCACTACCCCATATCATGCCGTGGGTGTCCTAAGAGGCGACAAATGGAAATTAAGCCAGGGGATGGGATGATAACAACAGAATAATAAAATATTGCGGTTACCACATCGTCTGCCAAGCGCAACTATGGCAAATTTATCCCCCATGAAGAAAGATACAAAGAGACGGCCCCCAGTCCTAGACGGTCCCGTTTAGTCTGGCTAAGGTTACTGAACTATAGTAACGGCAGGGCAGGAGTGCTAAGAATCTTCGGCGGAGGTTCTGTTGCCACATTCGAAAACTCGAACGGACAAATTTAACGCACGCGGACGCTATGAAGACTGGATCAGTGGCTGGAGCTAGAAAAGAAGGTAGACAAGTTGTGCTGACATATTATAGAATCATTTCAGGTCCGAAAAAAGGGCAGGACACGGTAAGACTCGAATCCGGCAACTTGTTTTATCACCGCGAGGGCAATCATTTATCTCAAGAGGGTGTCGGATTTATCAAACGCAAGGCTCTCTTTAACAACGTTGTCAAGAACAGGAGTGTGTTGACGAGGATTGCGTTCCTTATACACTGAATCAACAATGTCTCCAAGACAAAACTTGCACAAGGGTCAGCTGAAGGGAATTTTCAGGGATTTCAAGGGATCAACAGCTGGCCGACTTCATGGAGAAGGAGTGACTATTTATGATAAACTCTTTCTTCCAGGAGCAGCACCATAGAAGGTGGATCTTCATTATGACGACCAGACGATGACTATTCAGTAATCGCGAGGGTGAAATCTGGTAGTGATCACTGAATGGTCTTTCAGAGGCTCTTATTCGTTTCCGTCCTCCATGGTGGTTCTATTATGGAGGCGTGGAGCAGAAGTGATCTTGTTATTCAAGAATGGCGACAACGTTCTATTGAAGAACAACTGACAGATTTACCGTATGAACCGCATCTACGTGCTACTTTAGATAGTCGTTGCGAATCAGAGATCGTTTAAGTATCATACACCACTTCGGATGTGTGTTAGTGGACTGCGGCAGGCCTCTGTCACTCTTGCTACCTGCGTGAAATAATTACCTACAATCGCGAGGCGATTGAATGTTAAAGTTTTTTAACGCTGTTTACGTAAATAGTTTTTGTAAATACTTGTTGAAATACTCGCCCAAATAGTATTGTATTTCGGGTTTATTTGTTGTTTACTCTATCTACCTATTTCTTCGGAGCCAAGCATCGCGCGATTCTCGACGAATGGCCTTGCAAGTTGCATGCGTTGGGCATCACAGAACTCACATAGTAGCGGAAATATGGTCGATCATATTCAGAATAGGTACTTTACCTAAGTAGCTTACCATTCGGCAATGTATTTTTTTACTCTTTATTAACAGCCCTTAATAACCACGGAAAGTCCGTTGTGATGTAGGAAGGAGAGAAGATGCAAAATAATATGGACACTCGCGGGCAGCGATAGTTTTATTTAGCTTGCATGCGCGATTTATCTGATTAATAATAATTATATAGGCTATTAAAACGTCGGCAAGCAGTCAACATTAAAGGAGTGCAACTTCTGTACGTTGTACTATTATTTATTCTGTGACTGCGGCGACAAGTGTCCCCTCCCCCTACAGCCGCAGCCGAGGTAGATCCTCCGCAACTTATCGTGGTTGGCGGCAGATCCATAGACCAGATACGCCGCTGGCGTCAGAAAGGCTAGTGCTTCTGAGTACTCCTTTTTCCTGGTCCCATAGCCTTCGCACATCGGACACAGGGTCATACTAGGGGTGTTCTGGTGCGTTTTTACCTGAGAACGAGATGGGGGCCGCTGATGTGAGCGAAAACGTTCCCGTAGCCCTGGCAGTATGCGACGAAGGTGGAACACCAATAGGGGTTTTAGTCGAGCGAGTCCGACATAACCCGTCCTTACCCCGCGAGGCGTAGGCATTTCCCCATGTAAAAAAAAACATATATTGGTGATTCATAATATGTTGCAGTTGTTCATGGGTGGCGGTAATCACTTACTATCAGGTGAGCCTCAGCACATTTGCCCCCTCATAAAAAAAAAACTTCTATATCGTGGCATAATATACTTCTCTGTCAAATTTCATTAAAACTTTTCACTCATTTAATCTGTCGATCCAACAACATAAAAAGTTAGCATTATTATAATGTAAAAATAAATAAGATAAACTTAATAGTTTTTAAAAAAGATATAAAATATAATTTCATTATACCTGTCTATCCCAGTCAGAATCTGAACCGGATGAATCGCGTCGACTTCTTTGCTCCCTATCTGCTCGTCTCCCAGTCACTCTCTCTTCACTAACTTCGCTATAAACAATAATTAAGCAATGATTTTGTATCATTCATCCATCCATTACAGCCTACTGAACATAAGCTTTCCCCATATATTGCCACATGGGAGGGATTTTGCCATAGTTGCCATGTTTGACGACTACCTTAATTGACAGGCTGGTTGGCAACCACAGTTTTTCCCATCGCTTCTTTCAAGTTTTCCTCTGTCGTCTCTTACGACTCCTTACGGGTGGATATGGAGTAGTGAACTTTTTTACTCTTTCCTAATACTCTCAATTTAAATTTAATCTAATTTCGAATAAAATTTTGAAGAAGTATGTTAGATAGTACTTTAAATCATATAGTGAGAAATTGTGTAATTAAGATAAGTGTGGTTTGCCGATATTGTGATAGGGATTAAAGATTAAAGAAGGATGGAATGCTGCGGTAATTTGAGCGCGTAGAAATAATGAATGAGAAAAGAGTAATACTTCACGCAAATGTATGCTGCAGGAGTGAGTGGCAAAGTCGGAAAATTACGCCCAGACAGAAGTTCATCGACCAAATTGGCGATATATTAAAGATGGGCGAAATTAAGATTACCCATAAGCATGTATGCGTTAATATACAGGGTTATTTTGCAATATACTCCCAAATTTACAAAAATGTTCAGAATAAGTAATACAGGTGTAAGGTGAAAAAAAATTAATTTAAAAAATCTCAACATTATGTACTTTTTATGTTTTAAATTCAGATTGCGTGGTAATGCATTATTTTAACTGATTGTCATTCATAAATATCTATCACCTTTTATACATAGGGAAATGCCTACGCATACCCGCCCCATTGGGGCAGGGAAGGGTTATGTCTGACTCGCAGCGACTAAAACCCCATGGTGTTCCCCCTTCGCCGCATATTGGCAGGGCCACGGGAACGCTGTCACACACATCCGGGTGCGGGGGTACGGGGAACCCACGAACACAAGGCGCGCCTTCCTCCGCGACCTCTAACTCCACCTGCGTAACGGAACCCCCGAATCCGATACGCGGAGACCATTGGCCCAGGAAAAACGAGCAATCAGAAGCGCTAGTTTTCGAGAACTCAGCGGCGGATCTGATCTCTGGCTCCGCCGTCAACCAAGTTTCGGCCGCGGAGGATAGAGAGCGGCACCTCGCAAAATATCTAATGCCGGGTTTCCACGCTTGCCAAATCTCGGCAAGCATCTACAAGCACAAGTGTGTAAAGAGGGCGTTTGGCTTGGCTTGCGTGAGTTTGTGGACGCTTGTCCCCGATCCGGGCTAGTGTCGGTTTTTGGACACAGATCAAAGGGCGCTTGCGGCAAGCGCTTGCAACGCATTCACACGTTGGTGCGCGTTTAGTAGAAATTGTGATTTCGCGACGAGCGCATGTTTAATTCTTTGTTTAAAATGAGTGACTGGTCGAATGAAGAGAGTTTATCGTTTCTGGAATATTACCAGACCGAATCGTCTATCTGGAACCCCAAAGACGTTAATCATAAAAATAAAAAGAAAGTTGCAAATGCTTGGAGACGTCTTGCTGAGTTAACGGGGAACCCAGTAAAAGAATTAAAAGCCAAAAATTTCTTGTTTTTGTATTACTTTGCTTGTATTTCAAATAAAAGTATGTTAAACCAAACGCAATAGCCGACACAAGTTCGGTGTCCGCCATGCTTGGGTTTACGTAGCACACTGACATATTCACAAGCATGAAAACGACTTCCAAACGCCAAACGAGATTGTGGACGCTTGGGGCTTGAAGACGTTTGCCGAGGCTTGGCAAGCATAGAAACCCGGCATAAACACCTATTTTGCTACATACGCACACGTTCGTAAGGATCGCTCGGTCGGAAAAAACGTGAACTGAATCGCACACAGAGAACGCGTAAACGTGTAGTTAATATATAATATTAATAAATCACATCCGATTTGGGATAATTTCAAATAAAAGTAGAAGCATTATTTACTCATATTTTATAAACCTGCAATATCATTATTTATATATTTGAACTTAAATATAAAATTTGGAATCTTTGAAAAATAACCCTGTATATATGGGAGAGAGAACCTATCTATCAGGATCGAGCCAAATGCACTCTTGTTGTTTCTCACACTTGCGTGTAGCTTAAACTACTATTAAACAGTCCGTAGAATGTTTCAATCGCATTTAAAATTTCCGGACCCACAGAAATGAGACTGCAGACATCATCATCATCATCATCATCATTATAGCCATTCACAAGTCAACTTCTGAACATAGGCCTCCCCCAAGAAATGCCAAAAAGCACGGTCCAGAGCCACGTGCATCCATCGATTTCCTTGTGAAACGGGGATGACCCGGTGATAAGGGGATGCACCCAGTAACAATGATACAGCAACAATGGAATCGTAATCAGAAAATCGTCGTCATCATTCGCTAGTAGAATGACTAGACTTAATGGCTAGCTTCTCAACTGATCCTTGTTATTCCGAACGGAAATAAACGTATGTATGTGATGTATTTACGGAATCCCGAATGGATATTCGAAAATGGTTTTTCGAAACGGAATTCCGAATGTATGGGGCAGTCCTTATTCCGAAGGGAAATAAACGTGCGTGTGCGATGTATTCACGGAATCCCGAATCGATATTCCGAAACGGCTTTCCAAAACGGAATTCCGAATTTATGTGGCCGGCTTAACAAGGCTCAGTTGAGAGACGCTAGGCATTGAGTCCAGAAATTCTGCCAGCGAATATGGACGACAAGTTTTTGTTCCTTTGGTGAAAAATATTTGGACTCTCCAACAATTTTGATACAGGGTACGCCTAAGGCACGCTACGCCACTGCAGGTCAACATACTCGTCAACAACTTCGAGCTTAGTGCTCCCAACAACTACCGGCATAGGTGTGACATGGACAATGTCCATTCAATGGTTTGCACATGATCAATATGATCTTTGTTTTGTCCATGTTTATCTTAAGACCTATCTGTTGGGAGACATTATTGAGGTCATTGAGCATAGTGCTTAGGTCCTCCAGTGATTCTGACATAAGAACTATATTGTCGGCAAATCGAGGGTGAGTAATGTACGCGCCATTGATGTTAATACCGTACTGCAGACATGGGTCTTCTTTTAGTCTGGTGAAAACTTTAAGAGATTACAACTCAATATCTTCGTTTTTTGTTTTGACATATACGTTAAACACAGTAACTATTTGTTTAAAACTATTCATTTTATCACTTTTCTACACTGAAATGTGCTCGCGATTGACCTTATTAGGAAATAACTTACAGTATTTCTTAAAACAATAGTGAAATCTAGGAAAATTTTGACACTTTTTTAGTAGTGCGAGTGAATTTTGACAACTTGACAAGCAAAAGCGCCATAAACATAGTTTAAACATTGGCACGCTAGATGGCGTGGAGACGATATTTTTGTGCAACAAATACCATTATTCGTAGATAGATATTATGCAATGATGCCGTACTTCCTAACCTTGAACTAGATGCACTACGTTGAAAGAAGAAAAAGCGACGCCAACTTCGTTCTCGTTTGACTGTAATAAAATTTAAACATTCTAAATTCTCGATTGTCAAGGGATAGGATTTGCGCGAGGAATTTCTTGCGATTTATGTTATATTTTTGTATGATTTTCATTGATTCAATTTGCAATATTTCTAGTATGTATTTGATTCCAATATAATACAATATATTGTGATTTATTGTAGGTATAGTAATTAATTATTCAAAATACGCAATTTTGTTTTCGGTGGTATTAGAAACGCAGGCCCGTGCTTTCAAATCTCGTTACAATACTAATTACCTATGTCATACAAGACAAAGAGTACAAAACTACAAAGTCAGTGTTTTGTTTGAATATTTTTTTCAACACTAAATAAAATTATAAGTCGGTAAGCCACCAAAGTAGTCACAAAATTAATTTCACAAACATTTGCAACATATAGTTTTGCGGGGTTACGTAAAAATACCTATTACGTATTTTGCAAATAGTTTCAGACATGCAATATTATTATTAGTTTGTTTTATTTTGTTGTAGTGCCAAGCTCAAGATCGCGTCGTATCGTTTGTTACGTTCCTGGATTTTTTTAGTTGATTTGTTCTTGGATAACAGATGAAAATAATGGTTATGTATTTATTATTAATTTTGTTTTATTATGCTTATTAGATTAATAATTATTTATTTATTAATAAAATGTTTATCAATAAAATAATTATAAATATTAAACTTTATAAAAATAGAATAGAAATAAATGTAAGTATATTATTTAAAAATTGGTAAACATTTATAGGATGGTGGATCATCAAATACTTGTGTATGGTATTGTTAAAAATTTGGTTGTCAAAATGCGTTTTCCGTGCGAGCGTAAGAGTACGCGATTAGAATATCTCTGCACAATAAAGAGGTTCTGTCGCCAACGTCCATACCACGTTGAATACACCGGTTCTCGTCCGATCACCGAAGTTAAGCAACGTCGGGCGCGGTCAGTACTTGGATGGGTGACCGCCTGGGAACACCGCGTGATGTTGGCTTTTTGTCGTTTCCATTGATCATGGGTATTTTACGTAGCTCAGATGGTTAGCGCTCACTGCAAATTTCTCACTACGCGAGCAACCCGAGTTCGAGCCCTGCCGGCACCGATGAATTTGTTAATTGCACCGCGGCGGACATTTTCTTTTCTTGCCCTAAAACTAATCTAATAAAAAAAATAATCAACAACGCAAATATCCGCGCTACAAAACAAAATGATGTGTCTTACCTAGTATGAAGAGCACCTCCCGCCCTCCCTCAATTGCGTGCACTATCCCCGTCTCCCAACACCACTACACTAGGCAAGACACATCACGTGGTGCGCGGATATTTGCGAAGTAAATTTTTGTAAAAGCTTTTATATAATGGATTTCCGTAATAATCAACAAGTCAAATGATTTTTGTTTTACTAAAAGCTTTTGTTGTTGTGTATGCTTTGAAATTAGGAAATAGTTTTTCACCTTTCTGGTAATTATCGCATACTAAATCGTGTTTTAGATTTGTTGTTATCTCTTGTTTATGAATAGTTTATTATGTAATGTCAAATTTTCGTAATAATTGGTTATGTTGCAAATCATCTGTGTTTTTAGTTTTGAGTGAATAGGCATGTATCAGGCGTGTTACTTCAAATGCTTGTTTTGATCATTAATTTCAATAGTGTAAGGTTATAAAATAAAACTGCGTTTTATTGTTCTTAGTGTTGACATAATTTATTTTCGAAGATTATTATTCAATTAAATAGTTTATTTACGCCTACAAATTAAGTTAAAAAAGTTAAAGTTACAGCCTATATACACGTCTCACTGCTGGGCACAAGCCTCCTCCTATTTGTAAGAGGGTTTTAGGGCAAGGAAAGGTCCGCCGCGCTGCCCCAATACGTGTTGGTGAACTGCACATGTCTTCGAAATGTATATTTTTTTTCTTATTTGTCAGACATTCAGGTTTCCTCAAGATGTTTTCCTTCACCGCAGAGCACGTGGTAAATCAGCACTTAAAATTGCAATTAACAATTTCATTGGTGCCGGCGGGGATCGAACCCGGGTTTCTCGGGTACTGTGAAACTTACAACGAGTGCTAACCATCTGAGCTACCACGGCTCATTTTACAAACATAACTTTTATTTTTATAACATAATCGTAAAATACTGGTATTCAGTCGAATCCGGTTTGACTGGGAGCCGACCCAAATATAGTTGGGAAAAAGGCTAGGCAGATGGTGAATTATATATATCGTAGCAGGTGGCGTTCTGTAGTTCTGCCTACCCATACAGAAAAAAGGAAAACATTTTTTTTCATTCACGCCATCTAGTGTTCAATTTTCGTAAATGTAGGGACTAAGAATTCACCTACGTCTGTGTGTGTAAACGACACTATATTCAATGACAAATGTTATTTTTGGACTTTGTGTTGAATTGAGTGGATTTTTTTTTTAAAAAATGCAGATGCGTTATCACCCGTGAGGACTAAGATGGAATGCCTCTTTTCCAATAAAAAGAGTCTCCGGTTCTCTACACTCACCATACGAAACACAGCAGTGTTAAGCTGCTATTTTACGCTGGTTTTCTGTGAGAGCGTGGTCCTTCCCCGGTCGAGCCGACCCATTCGTGCTACAACTATACTACTAATATAGCCGCAGCATGGCTCCACCACCATTTTGAGGCAATGATATGTAGTAAAATAATGTATAATGTCCAAGTACCACGATTGCTACTTCTAAGACTTAATAATGTTCCGATTACACAAAAACGCAAATAAACTAAAAAATGATGACTTCAGCGCCATCTCGCGAGAATATGACCGGGAACAGACCGTATGTTTCACCTTAATACGAGATCAAATGAATGTAAATGAATGAAATAAAAAACTAAAAATGATTTTGATGAAATTTTTATGTTTTTAAGTTGATTGGATAATGGTTTAAATTCACAATTGGACCCGGTAGGTGGCGCTGTTGTCAAGATCCAGAAATCACCCGTGCAAAGCCGGAGCGGATCGCTAGTGTATTATAAAGTTAAAGAAGGGTGTCTGGTTTGCAACCACTAAGTGGCAGTTACCACAAATTCTGGTGCTCAATTTGTACTTAAATTAAATATACATATAAACTTAACATAATATGCCTAGAAATGCATACCTGTTGCTCTTTAAACTATTCGAGTCTTCCGAATAACTAATGTCCAAATTACTAGAATGTCTGTAATTCTTCTGAGAACTATTGTACCACTGATTATACAAACTGTGATGACTCGTACTATGATAGTTGTTGATAGGGTTGTCAGTAGAAGGAGGTCTTTTCAAGTCCGGCTGAGACTTTGAAAGCTTTAATGACGACACTTTCAGGGTATCCGCCTTTAGAGCTGTAAGAAGTGAATTAAAATAAAAGATAAGACAGGATTTATTGATTAAATACATCTATAATATAAAATAGGGCCATAGGCTCTAATTTAAAGTGTTGTTTTACACGTCTTGATTACTGGGGCAAAGTGTAGGGCCCGAAATAATTATTATTACAAGACATAAAAACATTTTTGTATTTAAATAACTCATTTAAAGATTTAAAAAAATTAAACTAGTAATTATTTTCTTTTGAACAGTATTTTGCAAAATGCTATGCAGACACATAATAATTTGTTTCGGCTAGTTTATTAGTATAGGTTACAGCCCACTTATAAAATGCGGCGCTGTATCAAATGTAACTCATTTGGTAGTAAATTTTAAATAATGGAGTATTTGAAAGCTGTGGTCTAAGAAAATGATTACTTAATAATAGTAACATGACAACATCGTACAAAACTTCACCCGATACCATGCCCTGCACAAACTTCATTAACGCGTCCCTGGACGGTTCTCACCGCCAAGAACATCGAACGATACGCTTTAGCCGTGAGAGCCGGGGCCCGCCACCCCCTGTTCGGACGGCCGTTAGACAACTCACACATGTTATGTTAATGTGATCACAGAACTGAACACAATATTATCCCACTCCCCCAAGATTATCGATTTTAGTGCAACGTTGCGGACGCAATAAATAATCTCCCCCACCCCTTCCTTTTTCATAGCCTTAATATAAACTTAGTGCTCGCGACCTGAAAGCTTCCTAATAAAACCCCATAGCCTCCATAAAGTAATAATATAAGGTACTGTATACAGGACCTGAACACACACAACTTGTGTGTCCAATGACGGCGGGTAGCACGCCATAAAAAATAGTATATTTAAAATCTGTCAAAGCCAATAGTGTCAACAGGAGTCGTTTTGCCAAACAATGATGCATCGCCATGAGAGGGGTTTTTTATAGGATAGGGTGACAAACGAGCACACAGTCCACCTGATGGTAAGTGGTTGCTGTGGCCCATAGACATCTACATCTATCCTTGTTTGCGAATCAAAATGCAGATGCGTTATCACCCGTGAGGACTAAGATGGAATGCCTCTTTTCCAGTAAAAAGAGTCTCCGGTTCTCTACACTCACCATACGAAACACAGCAGTGTTAAGCTGCTATTTTACGCTGGTATTCTGTGAGAGCTTGGTCCTTCTCCGGGCGAGCCAACCCATTTGTGCTACAACTATACTACTAATATAGCTGCAACATGGCTCTAACACGTATAAATGCTATAGTAATAGTGTCTATAAATATTTATCCTCAAAAAAACGGATGTTTTAATTTTGTTGTCGTTACTTTTGTTCTCCATCAATACTAATTTAATTTAGTTTTAAATATTCTTCAATAAGACTAGAATAATAGGTTCCATATCTATTGTACCTATTATTCTAGTCTATCTAGTAGGTATCTACCAATGATTCGAATTTCACCATGTATAAACCAAAAGTGTGGTAATATACAACTACGAAGCGAAGTAAAGTCAACTCAACGTGCACTAGAGCTGCGCACCAACTTACTATGTACTCCATAGTCTTCTCAGAAACAAGAAATCTGTGTCCAGTGGGATGGCTATAAGGTGTACAACAAAAAACTTACCCATGTTGTCTCTCATTTTTCGTCCATACTTTGTTAGGAACTCAGGGGATGTTTCCAGTTGAGGAAGAGTATTCGACGAGAACCATGACGCTAAATACTTATGTAGTCCCACTTCATAAAGAAGTTCCAGACAGCTCTCACATTCTTCCACGTAAAATGGTGACGGAGATGTCACACCAACGGCCTGTACAAAATGTAAAACTTTAAGCATCTACAATTCCTCTGGTGTCAGATATTCATGGATAGTATGGTCTGCAAAATTTGTTTTTTTCTTTGAGGGGGAGGGCCCTTCAATGAAAAAAACATATTTTTACCTGGCAGAGCTAACTATATATATATAAAACAATTTATTTTGTGATTTTGGTCGTATTTTAACACATGGGGACGGCATTCATTATCTTAGCCATTTTTTAAAACAGGTAAAAAAAAATACACCATTTATCTTGAAATTTTCTATAGCCTTGTAAATTTCCTGTAACTAAGTAATGTAGTGAAATTCAGAAGTTTCAAAGTAATTTATATGCAATATAAAACTATCATTCAAAACAGTTTTAGTTCAGTCAGTCAGTTACCAGTTCTTATAAATAAAAGACAAAAATTTCCAAGGGATTATACGTATTGCACACCTCATAACGCAAAACGTTATTAGGTGGTACGACTATATGAGTAGCCGTATGTCAAGAAAACGCTAATTAATCCATTTTATATTTTCTAAAAAACCATTTTATATTGCTACTTTGAAAAAAAAAAGGTTTCAATAAAATTTTATGTGGACTTCCAGATGTTAATTTTGTATTTGTATATATCGATTTTATACTTGGTGTAATCTTGTGTGAGCTTGACATGAGCTAGACCTGATTGTTCATACATACCTCAAATAAAGCAACAAAAAGTTTAATTCACTTACATCTTCTGTGCATCCTCCTGCTTCCATAAGTGTCGCTAGTAAGAAATGCCCCTTACCCACAGTTAAAATAAACCAACGGCCATCTGGAATTCTAAATCATAAAGCAAAATTTTAAAAAAATTATATAATGCATATTGATTATCCATAAGTTTAGTAATATGTGGATATGTTATAGTAATTATATGCATGGAGTTTCTTTGCATGATAAAATTTATAATGAAATTATCAACAGTAGTACTAGAGTAACTGACATAACACAAAGGACTGACAAACAATGGGGAAGAAAGGTTCTCAAGTCTTATACCAGTAAACAAAGTGTTGGGGTTCTTACTATATTAAGTGGTTACCAGGTCATAAAGCTATGCAGAAATTGTATGGATGCATTAAAATATTACATTACATGCATTAAAATGTAAATGCATTCAATGTATATAAGTGTAGGGATCTTACTTTATGTAGTGATTATCAGTTCATATCTTATGCAGGAAGTAGGTGGTTCTTACAGCAGTGGACTTGTGAAGGACTATAACAATAATGGTGATGATGATAATCTAATAAGTACTTATAAGAATATACCTGTTCTCATTTTTATCATTATTAGTCTGGTTTCTATGCTCTTTGATAAATACTTCTTTCCACATTACAAGTTTTTCCAATTCTTTCTCAATGCTAAGCCTCAGTATGCCATTAAATTTAAGATAAGCATTTATCTCAACCAAGTCATCATCGCATAAGTGAGAACTTAAAAGATGCCCGGAATAATATAAACATGCTCCAATAACAGTGTAAAGCCTTTGAAAATTTTCAACATCATCAGTCTGAAAAAAATGGCAACTTAAGAAAGCATTTAAATTTATTGTCTTTTATACTTTGTTGTAAGCACTTACCCATTCACGGTAATCTGCCGCTTCTAATTCTGTTATTGCATCATCAACTTGTATTTTCACCTCCAAAGGCAATGTAACAGTATGAGCTGCTAAAATGTCTTCAAGTAACATTGATCGAACTTTACTATCTTGCTTTGACATGCTAACATTATTTTTATTAAACAACAGTGTCACAAAAAAGCGGGCAAACAAACCATCCAACTTATCAACATTATTTGGCTTTGTGAAACAAGCTTTTAAGGAACCATAGAGAAATTCTAGAATTCGAACAATATCTCTGATAATTTTTTTAGCCGAAAATAAATCTAAGTTCTTATTTGGAACAGCTAATAAAAGCAAATCATTAAAATGAGGTGCATATACAATATTAATTAAAGTATTATTGTAAAGAACACTTGATGTTACTGGTTCACTTGTACCTAAAGATTTTGGTGTTAAGTGATTGAGAGTCACATAGGCTCCTCTTGTATTGTATAGATAATTTTGATTATAAGGACGAGGGTAGCAATAAAGAACTCCTTTATCGTCATTACTCTGGTATTCTATGTCATTGCAACATATATACAAAACAGAACACATTGATTCTTTTAATAGTTGAGTAAGAGAATTTTCCAGGGGTACATGATTTAAGGAAAATAATTTCAAAGGATCAATATTAAAACCATCTGTTACCACTTGAAATGTTAACTTAGGGCTCTCAATATCCTCTATGACTCTCTGCAGGACACTATTAATGTTACATGAGTTAACTTCAATTCCATTGATTTTCAGCAAATGATATCCAACTTTAACTCTTGGCACATATATGGCTTTAGCCTCTATTAAAAAATTTGCAACAATTAATGTCTTTCCATCTGTATGAGTTTCTAAGCTTATGCCAAATAACTTTTCTATTTGGCAATTTTTCTCACTGTTAAAAATCATATTCTTGCTTACCTGAAAATCAAACATAAATTTGCCCTGAAAGCCCACATTAACATGTACACATTCCAAAAAATATAAAATGTATACAGAACTAAAAACTGTTTAGGATAAGACTTCATTAAATTTAGGTATTTCATGAACACAACTTCTTTCAACCAATTTAGGAATCGTAATTAGTATAAAGGAAAGCAAGCAAATTACGTGGTAGAACCAAACTGCAGCTCTATTAATTGTATAGTTGTGGCATGAATGGGTTGGCCCGACTGGAGAAGGAACACACTCTCACAAAATACCAGTGTAAAATAGCAGCTTAATGCTGCTGTGTTTCGTATGGTGAGTAGGGAACCGGAGACCCTTTTTACTGAAAAAAAGGCATTCCATCTTAGTCCACATGGCTGACAACATATTTGCATTTTGATTTGCAAACGAGAATAAATATAGATATCTATGGGCCACAGCAACCGCTTACCATCTGGTAGACTATGAGCTTGAATGTCACCCTTATCCTATGAAAAAAAATTGGAGTCCCAGATTACACTGAGCTGAATATAAGATTTTACCCTTTCTATACAACTTTTACAATGACGCCTACTTTATCCAACCATAAAAAAAATAGGGCTTGCTCTAGTGTTAATACTTGCATTATAAAAATGTAAAAAAAACTTCCACCTTTGCCTTCCTTTAATTAAGAATCTAACCATCTTGTCTTATTGCACTTTCTTTTTCCTATTCTGAATTACAATTCAGTTCCTTAATTCGATTTAGTGTGATATAAAAGATAATGTTTGTTTATTTCTATTTTATGTGTTGCCAAACCATTCATCAGATTGTGCTAAAACTTTGTCAACTTATTGCTTGCACTTCGTTATAGGCATAGTATAATTAACTTACAGTAGATGGTGCCTGTATCGTACTGACAAATTAGTTTAAAAGTTATTTATAAACATAGTGATTATATACTCTTAGGCTATATATACATATATCATTCAATTCGATCATGAACGTATTATCATTCCTATTCAAACAATATAACTCTGCCAAATTCGAAATTAATTTTTCAGAGTTATTTCTTCTGCGGCAGCCATGTGCCGAGACCAGCTAGTTGTCCAATAAACAATATTTAATTACCTGAATAATGACAATTTTATTATTATCATCTATTGTCGTTTTCTTTGTATTATCTGTTGTGTTACTTTCATTTTCTTTATTATTATCATTTCTATTATCAAATTTTGCTTTTCGGTTTTTTAATACCTTAAAAATTTTACCTGAAACATATTATAAAACATTTTTATCTATGACATATTTTCAATGAAATAATTACAAATGTTATATACAATAAGGCTGGCTTTTCACTATGGGATATAATATATATTATATCCCTAAATATAAATTATATCCCGCGATTGGCGTTCACACTGTGAGATATATCTTTTAACCAGTGTGCGTTTGTCATTGGTCATTGGATTACCCCCTTTACCCCGTACACCGTTCTGCGGGGGCGCGGAACGGTGTGCGGGGTACAGGGGGCGAAATATAATATGAAAATATCGCTCGGTCGATCGAAAAAATATTTATAGCTTGAGATGTAATATATATTATAGCTCAGTGTAAACGGTTCCATATGAAATGTATGGTGAGCGATATTAATTTATATCTCGAGATGTAATATATAGTCATCCCATAGTGAAAAGCGGGCTTAATATTAAATTAATAATACAAATGTGTTGCAGGATTTAAACAGTTAAATTTCATGCATCATTAGGCTGTATATAGAGAATAATTATCAATCATCCATCACAGAAGATGTATTATTATAATAAAGTAAAACAAAAGTAAACCTTTAGTGGACCTCCTAGTTGAAGCTCTTTTAAAATCACTTCTTAACTTAAAAGTTTCACAATTTTCTAGAAGTGGGGTGTTTATATCATTACTTTCATTAATATGTTTTACTTTAATAAAAACCAACTCTCCATCTTCTCCAATATCAGAATCCCACTCAGGAACGGAACTGAAAGTAATTACTGTTTGTATAAAATTTTATGTATTTAATGTATTTCCTACAATGTATAAGTACCTTTCCGAATCAGAATATTTGGAATCATCGGAGGAATCTGTCCAATTATTATCTGAATCACTCGGCGATTCATATTGAACTTTGTTCATTTTATTCATAGCAAAATAAAAAATAAAAGTTTCAAAAACAGTTCATTAAAGTTGTTGTTTTTTTTAATTTGTATCTTAAGCAGGCAAACATCGCAGACCATACAGCAGTTTCCGTATATACACTCTTAGGCCGGCCACATTCATACGGTATTTCGAGATTCCGTTTCGATATTCCGATTCGGGATTCCGAACGCAGCAAGTCCATATAAAATCTATGAGCCGCCACACAAGTACGAGATATTCCGTACGGAAAAATAACTTCCGTACGGAATTTCTCCGATTCGAGATTCCGTATGATTGCCTGTGCGTTCGGGATCCCGAACGGAAAAAAGCCGCTCCGAACGCACGTCTTCCATAGATTTTGTACGAGTCACAACACACATACGTAAATCCCGTACGGAATGCGCTCAGTGTTCGTCACACTCGCACGACCGAAGCGAGTAGGTGTATAGCTTTTTTCGTAACCTTTCATCTTATTTTATTTAATAATTCGTCGATAGAATTTACATACATAAATATTTAAAAAATATCTCTGGATAGATAGATCTTTTTACATAGTATTGACTATATTGCAAGCTTAGGGTGATAAGGGGATGCACCTAGTAAGAATGATACAGCAACAATGGAATTTGCAATTAGAAAATCGTCGTCATTATTCGCTGGCAGAATGTCTAGACTCAATGACTAACGTCTCTCAACTGACCCTTGTTATTCCGAACGGAGAAAAACGTGTGTGTGTGTGATGTATTCACGGAATCCCGATTCGGGATTCCGAAACGGAATCACGAAACGGAATGCCGTATGTATGTGGCCGGCCTTATTAGTGTTCCTTAAACATCGATAGACTATCGATTAATCGATGGTGTTTGCACTATCGATTCTATCGATAGTCTGGTTAAACTATCGATTGCCATTCTTATCGTAATTTTTGTCTATAGTAGATGTCTCCCTTTAGTCTAAGGTCAGAGAAATCCCTGTAAATAAACTGAATGTGAATAGCTAATTAATATGTGTGACGCTGACGTAAGCTTGTCGCTATTTGTGTGTGTGCCAGAACGGGCGGTTGATCTTGCGTTTTATAGATTACTAACTGTTCCCTGTGACTTTGCCCGCGTGTTATTTGGGGTTTTAATTTTTTTTTGCGCGGTACCCTAATTCTTTTTCTAAAATAAAAGTAGCCTAAGTTACTCCTTGTGAAATCAGCTATCTGCCAGTGAAAATCCAGTCATAATCGGTCCAGCCGTTTTCGAGATTAGCCGGAACAAACAGACAGACAGATAGACAAACAGACAGACAGACAGACAAAAACCTGCTCAAAGACAATCGATAGTCTATCGATATATCGATGGTCTTATAAGAAACTATCGATTGCTATCGAATACTTCAACAATCGATGTTTAATGAACACTAACTCTTATCTAATGAGTATTTTGTTCACAAATCACAAAACTCCTTACAATATGTAGATGCGTCACAGTGTAGTTTTTGGTAGATTTTGACAGTTTAACTCATCCAGCAGTTGATGATGATAAAGTATAAAATAGGTTTTTTTTTAATAATTTGGTTTATATAACCGGCAGTTTTCCAGTTTAAAAAGGTTTTTGGGTATCATGATCATCATTACAGCAATCACAAGTTCACAAGTCCACAACAGACTCATTAACAGCTTTAAGCGTAGTGTTTCAGATGGAGGTGTGGAGTGTAGCTTGCTACATATTTATTTATCTATTGTGGAGTAGAACCAAAGTATTACACTATGATTTGCGCGCGCGCGCGCGCGCGCGTGTGTGTGTGTGTGTGTGTGTGTGTGTGTGTGTGTATGTTTGAATAACTACAGACAAATGTTTAACTTATATACAATAATGAAAGAACAAATTAATGTGCTTTAATTGAATTAAATTGGTTCAATTAAAACACATTTGATAAACTCAGTCAAATGGTCTGACGGCCAACTATTGCTCTATATATATATACACCACTTTAAAAAATTCTAGACGCTTCTATAACATTTCAGATACCAAAAAAGTGGCAGGTTTATTAGTTACCAACAAACGGCCTTGCTGATAAAAACTTACTTATATTCAACTAAGTTTCATTGTTCGAATGCTGATAACTAATACTTTCTATTTTGTTTCGTTAAATGAATAATGAATTTTAACAATCTGAGTTTTCTTGTAAAAAAGATGATTCTGAGTCCGTGATTCCGTGATTCCGAGAATGAGATCCTCAGGGTGTGCTACGAGTAACCAGAGAATCCCATACTACAATATTGGCGTGCTGTGCATCGCGACAATAACTGTAAATAGATAGAACGAACTCGCTTTGGAGGGCAATTTTAGTATTTTTAGTATTAACCTATGATTACAGTTAAATTGTTTTTTATTTATCTTATTTATTGTATCCTTATAATTATATTTTCATTTTGTTTTTACATTTAACATTTATTGATATTTGAAATGAGTGTAAAAAAGCCTGAAATAAATGACTATTATTATTATTATTATTAAATAAAAGAAAATGTGTAAATTGAAATTTATATACATCATTTTATTACATAAAAATAATAGTACGGAATTTGCAAACTATTTGTTGCTAGTAATTTTTAAGCACAGTGAAACCTTTGAATTTGAATTCGGTCAAAACTGACCTTCGCTTGGATACTAATAGACTAATAGTGTGGAAACTTTTTGCTCTTTGACTGACTTTGAAACGTGAGTTGTAGGCTATGATCGTGAGCATATATTTCCTATTTATTATGCTATGCCTGTATCAAAGAACATTAAAGCATTTAAAGAGATTGATATCTTCTTTATATAATTATAATGTAGATTGAAATAAGTAGACAACACTCTTATAGCTAACATAAATGTTTAGGCCAAATCTTAACATTTAAAACTTGCATTCAAAAAGCTCGTCTCGGCGCGTCCATCCGATGGTATTTAGGTCACCGCCTGGCCCCCTTTACCGCGCGCGTCTCTCCGCTCACCCTCGGTCGCCTGACGTGTGGGCGATCAACCGGTATGACGGCTTGGTCCGGCGGGCACTCGTATTGCCCGCGGCGGCCATGTCCTTAGGAGTCTTCAAGTTACACTCGAATCGTTAGGTCGCGTGAAGACCGCCTCTTATTGCGTTGTCTTTTTCGTGCGTTTACGTGACAACGAGGCTTTTCTTGAGTTTTGAGTGATTAACTTAACTTCGATTACCATTAATTTGCGTCGACGAGTTGCTTGTGTGGCATTTTAATATCGTACGAAGACATTTTTCCTTAGTCGGTTAGAACGCTAAAAATTTGTGACCCGAGAGGAGATCGCGTTCGTCTACGATTATAATTTTGTGTTAAGTGACGTTAGACTTAAGTTCACATAAAGGTGAACGCCCACTGGATTGATCGCACATTGTGGAGCAGAGCAGCGCATGTGGGTCGTTCTCACAGCACTTACACCCACCTACTTACCCCTGACGATACCTTGTGGTCGACCCTACCTCCGAAACTCGGTAAGTTTGTGTTTGTTTATCCAGCCATTACATAATAATTGTCCATAGGTCATTTGGGCCCGAACCCTCTGGTTGCCCGTCGAGTGGGCTACTCATGGGCCCTAGTCCAGTCGACTTCTGTCGGGGCAACTGAGGGAGTTGAAAACATCTTTGGTAGCAGAGCGTGGTTGATTGTTTCTCCAATCACGCCCGGCCGTAATATAAAAAAATTTTTTCTTTACTTTTTTTTTGTTTTGTTAGCGGATCGGTGGTTAGAACCACGCCCGTTAGGCTGCGCAAGCAGGAGTGTAGTTTAGGGTTAGGTACCTACGCGTCAGGTATTTCGGGTAAGTAGATTAAATTGCCGAAGGGTCGGTCGCCTGAGCGAGGCATCTTTGCTGACCGACTGTAGTGTGTACTTGCCGTGTAGTGTAATTTGTATTTAATTTAATTTAATAGTAATTGTATGTAGTAGTGATGCAAAAGCCACCGGCGCTTCGCCTGCAGGCGGAGCTGCGCTGGGCCGCGAATGCCCATACTTTGATAGGGCGACCCGATCGGGTCCATAGTTTAGACAAGCGGCTCGAGCAGGTCGCGGCCCGAAGGGCCGTAGTGGAGGAGGCTTACACTGAGCTCGTGGCCTCGGATGTGGAACGCGGAACAGGGAGTCCTAGACTCCTGCCTCGCGGACTACGAGCAATTCTTTTCGCTCACGGACGACTTGATCGAGGCGGGGGCCACGTATGCTAATTAAGCGCGTGAAGCTCGGCTGAGTGGCCTGCGCGAGTCCCCTCGGAAGCAGCCTACTCAGCCGGAGCTGTTGGGACGACTCCTAACTCTGGACCTGCCAAGGTTCTCCGGGGTCCTCTCCGACTGGCTGACCTTTGTTGGTCTTTTTGATAGCCTAGTAGACGCCCGGAGGGACTTGGCACCAAGCCAGAAGATGGCGTACCTCCTGGCCTCACTGGAGGGGGAGGCGCTGGGCGTCGTCGGCCATTTAAAATTGTCGGACGACGCCTACCAGACTGTCCGGGACTTCCTCGCCGGAAGGTACGCCAACGTCCGGCGAATTGCGGACGAATACGATAGGCAGCTTTTAAACCTCCCGCTGCTTAGGGACCGGGCCAGACTACGTCCGGACATCGTAAATTCAGTCTTGGTGGCCTGTAATTCGTTGAGGCGACTGGATTTACCGGTGGATGGTAGTCCTTCTTGTTGCTCCACATCGTGCTGTCCCACCTGCCTCTCGACCTTCGGATACATTTTGAGTAGAGGTACGGCGGGGACGGCGCCTCCTATATCCCGCCCTTCAGTGATTTGCTGCGGTTCTTGGAGGAGCAGTGCCAGCAAATTGAAAACGCAGCGGGCACCGTCGACAACCTACGGGTTGCCAACCGAGCCGTGCCCAGGGAGAGGCGGAATCCGCCGGGCAAGTGGTCGCCAACCTCCCTAAGGCCGAGAGGAGCTCCCGCGGGAGGGCGCCGCCCCCTACCATCTTATAGAGGCCTAGCGGCCAGGGAGGCGCCCGCCTGTTC